GTATAATATAGTTCATGTATATTTAGTACAGATCATTTATTAGCTGAAGTTTCAAACACTTGTTTTCACTGAAACTTAAAATATTATCTATAATTACCGTATTTTCACATATTTTTCGCATGGAAATACGCGACTAGATATACTAAATAGTGCCAACTAAATGAAGGAGGTTATCAAGAAGGATGAAAAGATATGGCTGTGATTTTCTACATACTTATCTTCAATACATCTCCTTGATATATAAATTAATAGAACCTTTTAAATCCAAAATTCAAAGGTTTACTCAACATGTATGGCTGTAGGTAACAATTTGATGATTAGATGTAAAATAATAAACAAGGATATTAATTTTCCTGATAATATACGATTTTGATTATTTAATCTGGCAAAATCCTGAAATTAATTATGTCTGTGACTATGTGGCTCGGGCAAGGAAAGTGATGCATAGGAAAAAGATAATTAAGAATTCATTAGTATTTTAACATTGCAGACAGCGGTGTTAATATCCAGTTTAAAAATTTCTGCTCAACTTTTATACACATCAGAAGTCATTTAATGCACTTTCATTTTTATTTTTACATTAATCATGTGAAGAAAAAATGAACTACTCAAAGGTTATTTATTGAGAAAATTTGTAATTATTTGGAACATGCCTATTAAATTTGTCTTATAAAATCATGACACTTTGTTGAGTTAATACTGGTACCTTTAAAAAATTAGCATATTTTTTGCATCTCAGTTGTGCATTTAAAAAAAAGGGCGAAAAATAAGTGAAGAAATACGGTACTTTATTTTACTTGAAACTGTATGGATGTAAAAAGAGAAAGGCATGGAATACATATGCATAAGTATCATAACATTACACGATTGATTAACGCTTAATTTTTAAAAATGATTCTGCAATTAACTAGTCTAATAATGGATATTAAAACACGAGTATAGTATATATTAAAACACTTTTGAAAGATAATTTCACATGACAATATTATAATAAATACATGCTTAATTTTTTTTTTTTTTTGAAATTCAACATATATATCAATGATATTGCTATATATATGACATTGTTTAGAGGACAAATTTTTATAACATACTCCATCTCCAAGCAAAAGCCCTTTCTAATATTTTTAATTTTTTTAAGGCCTTTTACAAAGCCACTCTAATTAAGTATAATGGATTTACAATACATTTACTACTTAGGAACATGGAATGCATAAAGAGTGATAAGCAAAAGTTTTCATAATACTATTTTTTTAACTAAAGTTATCAATACATATTTAAAACATCAGATTTCTTTTAAGCATAAATACTAGTGAAATTGTTACCTTGGTATTAATTGACATCATCTGCAAATTATATGACAAATGACATCAGTTTTTTAATACTTTGCATAAAAAAAACCTAATGAGGATTTAAAACAATAATGAACATTTATTTTGTTTCAGTGATATACTTAACAGTTACTTTAAAAGCATTTTACTGGTTAATAAACATTATCCCCAAAGCTCTCTGATTTTTTTTTCACTTATTTATTTATTAAACCACAGAGCTAGTGGTTAGAAGAAATCAGCTTACTGAATGTTGAAATAATAATATAATTAATAAGCATGGAACTAATTCCAAAGCAAAGATTTATTTCCATGAGACTAGTGCCAAGGCTCTCTTTCCATATTATAATGCACCATAACCTGACTAAGCATAAGAGAAGGAATAAATATACTCAGCTAGTAGCTGACAATTTTCAGCAACCAGATGGAAAAAAAAGTTCTACCGTTATCATGGTAAGAAAAGTTCACACATAGGAGCTTTAAGATAAACCCCTTTCTATTTGCATTACACACACCAACCATTATATGCTGGATTACATAACATATTACAACAGTAACATTTCATAAATGAATCTGAGTTCACAGTCTGACTCATGTTACATCAGAAAATTTAAGGAACCAAATTTAGCTAATGCAGCATTCTGAAAGAGAACTGTTCAGGAGGTTATATCTTTGTTTGGGCAATAATATTGACTTAAAAGCTTCCATGCACACACAGCAAAATCTCTGAGGAAATAGTCAAATTATAGAAAAAGATTACATCTATTCGCATGCTCTTGTAAATTAAGATAACGAACAAATGAATGAGTCATCTAAATTAAAGACATCAGTTTCATCACGAACTAATGGGAGTATCTTGGAAAATATGCAGCTGCTTTTATTCTTCCCCAGTGTCTTTAAATATGGTGAAACAAGGATTGAGGGATTACCTTTACCTTTTGTCTTGATAAGGTAACTTAATACATTACCAACTGATAGCCTATTAATCGGCTTTTTATCTCCAATGCCTACCGACCGATAGCCTATTAATTGCCTTTTTTCGCCAATGCCTATAGCCTATTAATCAGCTTTTTTCTGCCAACGCCTACCAACCAATAGCCAATTAATCACTTTTTTCTCGGGGGTACATAAAAATAGCCTATCAAACGGTAGCCATGGCGATAAACAATTGCCATTTGCTACATCATCTGCATTTTATTATTAGTATTGATGTACACTGCTCACTTGTGTTGCTTCGTAAATTCCCACATTTTCACACTGTTTCTAAAAAATTTACTGTTCACAATGAGCGAAAAAATGGTACTGGAGTGTTTTATTTAGATAATTTATCAGATTGTCCTGACAGTTATTCAGGCTAGGGAGAATCTGTGGCAGAGCAGCCGGTCAGATGTGCGTATGCTGTTGGGCCACTAGCGGTCGGTAAAGTGTTAACATTATGATCATGCCAGAAGAATATACAAGAGATAAAGACTTGTTTTCGCAAATTATTCCCACAAAAGCTACTGCTCTTTGCTCAGGCATGCAGTTTTCTTGTGAAAACACCGTCTCATGTAAAACTTTTCGAGGGTATACAAAAAGAGAGAGAAGCAGTTACAAATCACTAAAATACGATAAATTGGGCATTAGAAATATAATCATATTTTAACAAAATCATTTAATTTCACTGTAAAGTTCATTTGTCACAAACTTTATATTACAAATTCTCCTGCATTCTTTTAAAATAAACAAAGAAATGAAAAACAAAATATTAAAAAAAAACAACAAACATTTATGAATGCTTTTAGCATTCTCATCATTCTACAGCACACATAAATTCTTGTAACATTTAAAAAATTAGAATATATATATAGTGCAAAGTCCAAAATCCTGACTGGTCGGGACTTCGGTGATTCCGGATAATAGATCATCAATTTAAATCTGGTAAGATGGCATGCAGAAATTATACAATTAAAATATGAAATCGTAATTTATGAAATAAAGAACAATTATGATATAAAAGGTATCAAAAATTTACAAAAAAAAAAAAAAAAAAAAAAAAAAAGCTTAATATTTATTTATTTACTTTATTAAACATTTCTTTCAGTGTAAGCTGTTTAAGATGCTTTAATCAAAAAATTCAAAAAGTTCCTTTTCTTTTTCCTTTTGTCATATACAGTGGACTTTCCAGTGCCATACTCCTCGCATAATTTTGAGACGGATATGCCTTTATCCATTTTTTGCAGCAATTCAACTTTTTGTTTGACATCGAAACATGGTTTCGCTTTGTAGATCCTTTGGCAACTCCAGAATTGGAAACTCTTTTCGACATAATCGAAAGTTCAAGCTTAGTTTTTACAAAATTGCCGTAATAATAAGTCTGCAAAAAATAATAAGCTGGATCAAATTAAAAGATCACACAGCAGCACAGTCTGCTACATTAATTGAAATGCCTTAGAATCAGTAAAGATAATTTTAGCCTAGCTTAATAGCATCCGTTATACATTATTGGCTCTGTATCGCAAGATTGGCGACGAAAGCCCAATTTGTTTCGCGAAGTTTTGTCTTGCTCTTATTGCATACTGAATTAAGCCTGAAATGTATTAGTTTAGTTATTTAATATAACTATGTTTATTTCTTGCACATGCTTCAAACTCCCACATATACTTAAGGCTTTATCTAGGTCTGGCACTCGATACTGCCTGGGACAGTCCCTACGGGTCCTAAATTGTGCTACAAAGCACTGAGCTTTAAATTTTCACCGTGCATAAACTTTGGATCCCAGTGCTTCCCCTAAATCATAAAAACTTCTCATCCCTTAATTTCGTCGCTTGGTGTTTCCCCAAATTAAAAAAAAATTGTCTTCCCTTAATTCTGCCGTTTGGTGCCGACATATTCTGCCACCGCTTCTGGGTTTACGGTGAACTACATATCAGTTATTCTTAATTAAAATAGCACTAAATGTAATCTTTTGGTCTATGAGTTTCATTAACAAAATCTATTTTTAGCGTATGAAAAGAAATTTTTGTTTTCTCGTCAACACTTCTTACAGCATTTAAAAAATTATAATCATCCCCAAGCACAATATTAGCATAAAAGGTTGCCATACTCTTGTTATTCAATTACTAATATAGAAAAATTTTTTTAGGCATCACAGCCTGAATTATTACTGAAGCTGTCATGTATTGATAAACATGCTGTGATGAAAGCAAAATATAATAAATAATGACTTGCCAAGTCGATGTCAAGGATATAAAATAGGTGAATGTTTCGGTTTGAGACGTATGCCAAGTAGATACTCAGCTATGAAGCCAAATTATTAATCTCACAAATTTATACTTACATGATTGTTTTTCCATAGTGAAGTATTTTATCTACGTCTAAAGTGAAATTAAGAATCGTAATTTTTAAGTGGAAATCTCTACATGTTTTATTATGAAAGAAAAATCAAATGTGCATGCGTAAAGCATTAATTAAAAAAAAAAAAATTTTTGTGGCTTTGAGGTTCGGATTTTAGATCATTCCGGATAATGAACGTCTGGATTTCGGACTTTGTAAAGTATAAAGTGTCCTCATAGCTTCTGATGAATTAGTTATTTCTTCCAGAACAGTAAAATTTGGTAATGCAATTAAAAGGAGAGAGAGAGAAACAGTTATAAATCACTAAAATAAGATAAATTCAGTTTTAGAAATATAATCATTTTGTAACAAGAATCATTTATTTTCACTGAAAAATTTGTCACAAATTTTATAATAAAAATACTCTCACATGCTTTTAACAATACACATAGGAAATGAACAACAAAATACTTCAAAAACAGAAACCTTTATGAATGTTTCTCACATTCTCACTATTCCATAGCACACATAAATTCTTATGTTTTAAAAATTAGAGCATGTACAACTAATGTGTCTTCATAGTTTCTCATGAATTAGAATATTTCTTCCAGAATAATAAAATTTGGCAATCAAACAGAAAATTTTGGCAATGAATACTAAGTTGCAAATTTTACTGAATTGTTTGTATACAAGCAAATTAGAAATATTTGCAACTCTGATTCAAACAGCTATCATGATAACTTTCTAGAAATAGCTATATACGATTTTCTACGATAAATACAGAGTTTAATTAATTGTTAAAGCCATAAATACAAATTTTTAATCCTCAATACTTTTTAAGCATGAAGAAGAAACTTTATAATATTCAAACATTTTCCCATGAATATTAAAATTCTTTTATATTATGAAGCAATTCATAATTTTCTTAAAATACAGTACCAGAGAGCACTAACAAAGACAACTACTAAATTATACATATGAGAGTGTATCAAGTGACACAAAAGACATTACATTACATTCTGCTTTGGGTAATATAACTACAAAATGAGTATGCATTTAGCAACAAGCATGTCACAAAATTTTTCATATGGGTGGAGTTATGGGTCAGTGGAAGGCCAGCTTGCTCCTTTAACCCAGATATATTCAATTGGGGGAGTACCTTAAGGATAAAACTGATATGATGCTATTTATTAGTAAAGAATTTAACATTTTATTTGAACTGTGTGCCAGTACAAGTAAAAATGTTGTTTACCATCTACAAATATATCTCCATCTTGAGAGTCAAACTGTTGATTATTATACTGAAAACGTATTAAACTTATTTTTTTCTTGTGTTTGCGAAATGTATAACTGCTCCCGTTATTTTATTATGAATTATATTCTTTATCAGTTCTTTAAATTACACTGCTTTCAACTTGATATAATTAATTCTGCACTAATTTACAGTTATTTTCACTCAAATTATTAATGTATTTAAAAAATATATATATTTAATCTCCATATAAAGGAACCTTGCACAGATTAATGATACAAATGCAGAACTGGACAATTTGAATATTTTAGGAGATTTTAAAGGCAGATTGTTAATTTAAGAGGTGAACAGCATATTTACATAATTATCATGCTGTTTCAAATTTATGTTTCATAAATGAGTTTTTCTTTTAAATTGAACACCCTACATAAAACAGGGAAAAAAAAATAATTGAAAGTGATTTGTTTCAGGAAGGGGGTTCCCAAGCTATAGAAATTCATATAAATGCACTGCATTACAACAGGATTTTTTAAGGATACATTAAAAGAGTGAAAGCCATAGAATAGATATTACAAAATGAAATAGTCTTAATCAATGAAATACATTAGTAGGGCAAAATAAGCAAAAAGTCAGTCAGTGTGTTTAGCACACACACAGGGAGATTTTCTAAGTCTTACTACTACTAATAAAAGATTAAATATGAAATATCTTTGTATTAAAGGTGCAAAAACTGCATAGTATCTGCATAGTAATTATCTGTAATCCATACCAAATTTATATCTTTTTGTGTAGTTTTATCACACAAACACACACATTTTTTATGCTGCATAGTATCTGCATAGTAATTATCAGTAACCCATACCAAATTCATATCGTTTTCTTATATAAAACACAATTTGACAAACTCATAGCCAACACATAATTATCTTCATGTGAAACAATATACAAATCTACCTTTTCTCTGTCAAAAAACTTCCACAACTTAATAGCACTAACATTAATTTTTAAGTGTCCTATTTCACAACTATTAATCAGCATGGCTATGAGCTCAGTTTGAGGCACATTACTTCAGTGAAATTCCCCCTTGCATAATAAAGAATACAATATACAATTATAACACTTTAGTAAATATGGAAGATATGCTAAACTTTGATTTGGTAAACAGATGAAAGAGAAAGAAAACACAAAACACATCAGTTTATACAAGACTTGCTTTCTTCAAACCCCCCCTTAAGGCTTAACCTGTGAGTAATATCTTACACAACTAATGACTACAAATTAAGCTCTCTTAAATTATTAATTTTTAACATTAAATAAATTGAGTCTATCACAACTTACATAGTGTATGATATTCTTAAATAAAGTAATAAACTTTATATATATATATATATATATATATATATATATATATTAGTTTTATTATTTTACATTTATATTCTATGTCTTAAGATAGTATATATAAAGAAGTAAAATGCTATGCCATTTTAAATCCTGAATTTCCTTACCATGGAAAAACTTGCCAACAATTTAAAATATAGTTAAGTAAAAAATTACATTAGAAAACATAGGTACAAAATGTATAAAATGCTAGCACACATTTAGAGTTTTGTTAGCCACTCAAATAAATCCTTGTTTAGGTACAGATAACTATTTAACAGATTAAAATTGTATAAAAAGGCTAATATCGGCAAGTGCTAGAGTTTTATAACACAGAAAAAAGCCTGTACATTTCCTTTTTCAAAAATAATCTATATCTCTATGCAGTGAAACTACAGTAAGTGGCCAAAAAGAGGAGAAATCATTTCTTCATGAGTATTTACATTTTATACATATGATAATTATACATCTATTGCTGCATTTTCTTTCTTTTTATCATATTCATCAATATACCACTGTTGGTTTAGATATATGAATTTGAGCATGAGTTTATAAATAGTATTTCTAGCTTTTATTTCAACATACATGGCTAAAAAGAATGCAAGGAAGAACAATGCACCACAAATAAGAGTTATAATTTCAGACTGAGTAAGTTCTAGATGAGTAATCTCTGATTTTGCTCCTCGGTGTTGCTTGAAGCACATAACAGTAACTACAGCACATCCAATCATGATTAACACTGAAATGAGGAAAACAGTGTGTAATATTTTATCCTGCCAGGAGCAATGAGGGAATTGCCATTGTCCAACCTGAAAATATACATGCAAGTTACATGATCAGGAAACAATCCAGCATGTAAAATAACATCAGTTGACAGCAACATCAATTAAATTTGCTATATTAATTAAGCATTAATACAAATAGTGTTCTGAAGAAAAAATTCCTTTAACTTCAGCAGAAACTGACTGCATATGTAGTGCTATAGAAATACCTTGTCACAAGTTCAAGAACCCCTGTAAATAATTTACATCATAATGAAAAAAAAAATAATAACAAATTTTCTTAAATAGTATAACAAAAACTCACTAAAGTCTTAATGGTTGGACATGTTTAATATGCCTTGTGCTGACACAGGTACTCTAACTGCAAGACTTGAAAAGAGTTGTACTAAGAAAGATTAGATAACTAACATCTTGTTCTCAATCTCCCACCTTGCCATTTTAGTTTATTAATCCTTTTTACTCCAACTAGCAGAAAAGGGGGCAATTAAACAAAAAAGGTACCAATTTTTGCATTCCAGATGTCACAGCATGTTACACTTTGAAAAATCATAACACAACCTTCAAATACAGAGCAGCAAATTTATGTTGTATTTTCTACTTAAGATTTTACTTTCCTCAAAAGGATCTTATAAGCAGAAAATTAGCAGCTCAGTTAAAAATACATCTAAGATTAGATTTTTTTTAACTGCTTGTAAGTACAACCACGAAACAATTTTCAAGTATTTTTGGTATTTGGTTTGACAAGATACGTCTTACAGTGAACAAACTAATGCTATTTGGTTTGTTTCCCCAAATGAAATCCTAGCAGAAGTTACCAGCCAAGTTTATTTCTTTGCTACTAAAGCATGAGTCTTTCTGAACAATAAGGTATTAATTGCAATTATTCAGACTATGATAATGTTTTTTTTATTTTCCAATACAAAAATCTAGCCGGGAAAAAAAAGGACAATAAGTATTGTTGAAAGCACAGACAATTTGCTACAGATAGTCTCAAAAGAAATGCATTAATGGTTTTGTGGTTAACATAAAAGATGTTATACACTGCCTCTCTGAACAGAATAAAATACGAATTAAATTAAAAAATTCCATAACATGCACAGTCGGGAAATCTCAAAACTACTTGATGAAAATCTTTAATTAAGTGTTACTAAAACATTATCACAGTCAATGCATATTTTGACAACAAAAGAACCTTTTGAGAATTTGGTATCGTGCACAGCAAATCAAGGAACACAATATGACTTAATAGAAGCTTCGAAGCTTGCACTTTAATTCAAATAACTGAATGGAAATGTTCATTATTACCATTTACTATGCGAATTAAAAGTATAAGAAATTGTTGTAATTGTTCTAAAAAGAAAACCATCTTATTGTGGCATACCTGGGAATAAGGCAACAGATGACATGGTAAAGAAAGGTACCAACTAATACGAAGTACTTCCAATAAAACATTTTTAAAAAAAGAAGGTAATTGTAAGATTTAAGAGGGATTAATACCACTTTCTCATGTTGATTTTTAATAACAGATGGCCCTACGAATGTTGAGCGATAAAGAGTTAAATCTGTAAGACTACCTACAGTCTGGTTACTATGGCAACAATGCTTCCTTTCCTCTGTGCTCCTTTGGCGGGAAAGTGAGTAAGCTATAAAACACTTAAACACATCCGCTCAGCTGAACAAAAGACCTGCTGTCATTTCTTCCGTCTGTGACTCAGACTGCAGGGTATGTTTTGACGAGGAATAGAACTTTTCCAGTTTTATGTTGAATGAAAGATATCTGTGAGATACATGCAGCAGTTGCAATTCCTTTTCGCAAAATTCGTTCATCACGCTTTTCAATGTTGCATAATGTTTTATAATTTGCCGTTATTCTGCGGAAAAAACCGTTTTTAAAAATACTAGATTTTTAAGCATTTCGGTAATTTCATCGCAACATAAAAATTATATATAAATGATTTTACACTTGATGATATGTGTATACATATATAGCATGCACATAATATTCCATAAATATGTGTAAGTACTTTGCAGAGCTTTATATATATATTTTTTACTTGTATTATAAAATCGTATAACACTCCTCAGCTATATTTTTTAATTCAAAAGTGGATAAACCATTATAAAATCTTTCTAGTACACGGAGAAATCGTCTATGTTATCCATACACATAAACGTAGTAAAAGATACTATTCTTGATCTAATATCTTTGGCAGTAATATCAAGATGCAACGAAAATTAGAAATCAACTACTAACATGCATTTTATTACAAAAAAAACTAGCAGGACACATTATTTGAACAAAAAACTTAGTGTGAAAATAATTTGCGGCATATTATCCGAGTTCCACTTTGAATGAAAACTACAAAGTGTTATAATGAACAGGGGCAACTAGAGTTTCCAGTGTCCAGGGACAAATGAAGAATTTGCCCCCTTTTCTTATCAAGAATGAAAACATTTCATTAAAAAATTCCGTAGCATCAATTTAGCGCTCCTTGGTGCTTCAAGACATATTTCACTTGATACTGAAATGCATATAATCAAATTGTGTTTCTATGTTTCAGGTTTATAAAATACAAGCTGATAATTGAAGGGGTATCAGGTTTATAAAGTACAAGCTGATAATACATGACAAGAGGGAAGAAATTCGTAAATTACAAAATTGAATATTAATATTTTAGTAAAGTAAAATGATATATATTATATATACATTTGGAAAAAACGATATACAAATATACATATATATATTTATGTATTTATATGTATATATACTCTTTTCCGGATGTAACTCTAATTACGTTACTGAGCTGGTTTATCATCTTCCTGTAGAGATGCATTTGGATTTGAATGTGTATGGGGGAATTTTGTTTCATGTGAAGTCTTTGGAACAAATGGGAAACAGAGTATTGAAAATTGAATTTGTTTTAAGCATTAGTAATTTATATATGTTAGATTGACTAATAAGAGTATATTCAAGCATAACGTATAAATAAGCGTAGTGAATACTTTTTGGCAATCACCTTTCTAGGATGGCCATTTTTGAAAATAACCAGTACTGTTGATAACATAAACATCGGTACGATCTATCTGCCTAAGGGAAATGATGCCCTCGTGGAAGACTTTCTAAGAGAAACTGGCTCCTATACACGTTACACATGGGAAAACCATGAAAGCGTGCATGTAGCCAGACCCTTCACGGGATTCAAAACTCGGACTGAACTGCTAGTTTTCAGCTACTTTACCACTTCACCCCTCATTTCAGAGCGGATTCGCTATATATGAAACAGAGCATAGTGCCCTTACTGTATTTAGCAGCCTGCCCTTTTCCATTAAAAAAGTGCTAAAGTCACCAATTACTGGTAGTTCAACTGCGGCACATTATCCGAGTTTAGCTTTGAATGAAAACTACATAAAGTGTTATAATGAATGATTAGTTTAAAGATTTCACTTGATACTGAAATGCATAAAATTAGCTTGCATTTCTACATATCTGATTTATAAAGTACAGCTGATGAACACATGAAAGTGGGAAGGAATTCATAAATTACAAAATTTAATGGTTGTAATGAAAATTTTAAGCACGAACGTTCTTCATAAAGTTATGCAAAAAAAAAAAAAAAAAAAAAAGCAGTCACTACCCAAAATCTATGCTCTGCCAATTTTTTTGGTAGATTTTCAAAACCTTCGGCCCGGAAACTTGGTGGCTTGAGTTTAAAAACAGGTCAACCTCATTTCGGACGTCCTCTCCAGAATGAAAGATAGGACCAGCAAGATGTAGCTGCTAGTGTGAAAAAAGGTAGAAGTCCGAAGGTGCGATGTCGGGGTTATATGGTGGGTGTAGTGAAAGATCCCATTCGAGTCTGTACAGAGGCCAGCTGGTGAATGCAGACACATATGTCTTGATGGAACATTACCTTTCTGTGCCACAATTCAGTGCGACTCTTTTCCTTGATAGCAGCATCAACATGTACTAGCATCTCGTTGTATCCCTTACTGTCAAGGATTTTACCTTTTTCCATATACTATTTGTGATTAATACCACGGCAATCCCACCAGATACAAAAGCATGATCTTTTTGTTAGTCAAATTACGCTTTGCGATGCTGCCGACGGGCTCACCAGGCGCTATTTCTTATTAGACTACTAAAGAGCACATCTTTTAATAATTTTCTGTTAAACTATAAGGAAAAACTATCTATTTGAAATATTTTTCGTAACACGGTTGATATGAAAATTTATATTTCATATATTTTTACTAAAAACGTGTTATAACATGAAGGAGCAGTTAGGCCTAATATGAGCAGTAAGAAGGTTGCCATATATACGAGTTTAAATCAAAGCCTAAGAAAACATGTTATAAACCCCAGCAGAGAAAAGTACAATCCAAAATCAAAAGTTCCATTATTTTTTTTGCACAAAAAAAAATTAAAGCTTCATGCATACAAAAACCAAATAATGCAAAAAATGCTTTGAAATAGTCACAATGTGCAACATAAAAAATATGCTGAAGATATGGTAAATCAAGTGGAAAACAATGAAAACACTCTCAATACTGTTATCTTTAGTGTTAAATCCCCCATTTCATGTATCAGCTTCTGCAAATCATCATACCTGCTGGGTATAAATTGTTACACGCTTTAATTGAAGTGACACAACATTTATAAATTATTTTATCAACATAAAGCAAATTGTTTCATGAATCTGACTACTTAAATTTTTCAAAATTATCATTAACACTAATGAATAAAAACTTACCTTGAATTTTTTATGCCAGTGAAATTGGTATTTACAGAGTTCACATGTTGGTGGCTTCCTAGATCTTTTATTGCAAATTTCCAGCCATTTCTGAAGAAAAAGAATAAAAAATGTCCAAAACATTAAAAATATTGCAGCCATATTACCAATATGTATTTATAAAATTACTTACCATTAAACAACCACAATGTATATATCGCAGAGTACCAGTGCAGCGACAGGGTGATATTAAAGGATCATCTGGCTTGGCAACAGTGTGGCAAATTTTGCATGTAGGTAGGCTACTGTCTCCAAAACTGCTAGCAACACTGAGCTGTGCAGCAGAGGCTGAACCAGAAATATCAGCACCACTGAAGGTGTGACGAGCACTAGGCATAAACCATGCATCATCCAAACCAAAATGAGCATTATTCTCTAAAGAAGCATTATCACAAGGTTCACCAGATTCACTAAGTGACTCAATATCAAAAACTTTGAAGTTGACATTTGGGTTTAAATTATAGCTTTTATGGGAAAATCTATCATCAGATAATCCAGTCTGAACATTTTTATTTTCCTCAACACACTCATTTGCAATTCCAGAAATGCCAGGCTCAGGGTCAAGAACATTCAGTGCCTGTTGACCATGTAATGAATAATTACTTTTGCTTGAGGTTAATCCCAAGTCACTTGAAACAGCAGAATTGAATAAAGTTGATTCTTTTACAGAGTCTTGAATATAAGATGTATTTATCTTATCACAGTGGCGAAATTCTTCAAAAGGATGATGTATTAGCACTTGTGGTTTGAAAAATGTTCGCTGCCACGACTTCAGTAAATTATTTTCTTTATTTTTATCTTCTTGATTATCTTTATCTACACCATTTTTACTTAAGAAATATTCAGATATGGATCTCTTTGAGAGAAAATTTTTACCTTTAGATACAGAACAATCAGTTTCTGGAGGTTTCTGATATACCTTTATACTCAGAAGTTTCTGTCCTTCAGCAGAAGTGTAATCTGATGCAATAAATGAATACTTACATGCTTTAGACATATATAGAGATTTTTTATCATTAAGATTATGAGCTTTATCAAAAACATTATTAGAATCCATAGAAGGATTGGTACAGTTAATAGATGAAGTTGTTGCAGAATCTTCGCAAGCTTTAGATACCTTAACATTTGCATTGACACAGTCACATGATAATCGATCTGAAGCACAATTCAGAGAGTGCATCAGTGCCATATTCAAAAGAGCACCATCAGCTAACTGATTCTGATTAGATGCCATACAATTATATTCATGTAAAGCACACATTCTGTTGTTATCCGCATCGAACACTCTGATAAATGCTTGCCCAGTTTAAATGTATATCATTCCAGTCACTAGAAGATATATTTATGCACATCCTAAAAAAAAAAAAAAACGTTACTATACCCAAATGAAATACATGAGCATATTTTACTTAATAAAATATTCAACTTTATGGTGCTTATCCATAAAAAATTCCCATGTAAAACTAAAAATTTGTACATTTATGTCATAATCTTAGTAACATGAAGAAATAATCACTCTTAATCCAATGTCTCAACATATAAATTCTCAACCTGATATATATACGATTCAGCTATTAATAAGAGCTAACAATTATTGTAGTATTACAGAGAGACAAAATTATTTGTGTTATAAAATTAACAAACAGAGTAATGGCTAATTGAATTTTTGGACTTTATTAACAAAAAAAGGTGAAGAGAACTTACGTACGTCTTATTGTTTACATGACAACTTTCAGAATGACGAAAATAATAGTGATGCCAGATGCATAAAACATAATAAAACAATGATGTCACTGAAACTGCACATAATATCAATTAAATGCTCGATTCTCAACAGCCTCCTTCGAGCATGAAAATAGTCATTGTTCGTATAGATTAGCCTTTACTTATTAACTGTTTTTACACCAATCAACTTCTTCTGGAAATGAAACTGAGGTGCTGGAAGCGCCTTCGTCAGAATGTCTGCTCATTGTTCATTACTTCTGACATAGCCTAACTGACAATGTTCCTTCGAGAACTCATCTTGTACCTTTGGTCAATGTGCTTTGTGCGTGCGTGGAACATTGGATTTTTGATGTACTTGATAGTACTCTGGTTATCAATTTGTAGGATAGGCAGAGACATTATTAGCTATCTCATTGAACAAGCTCTTCAACCATATCAGGTCTTCGTAGCATCAGCTGCTGACATGAACTCTTCCTCTGTCGTTGAATTGGATATGGCCTCCTATAGCTTGCTTCGCCACGTAACTGCACCTCCACCATAGAAAAAAATAACACCTGTTCGAGACCTGCGCGTTTCTGCCCACCTGTTATTATCTGCATCACTAAACAACATTTATCATCTTCATTATTGTACACAATGCCATGTCCTATGGTATTGTGAAGGTACCTTATTGTTGTCTGTGTGATTTCCTAATCAAGCTCTGTAGGACTGTTCAGCTTTTGAGACATCAAACTCACTGCATAAGCAATATCTGGTCGAGTCCCCTTCGCCAAGTACAGTAAACTGCCAACTACTCGGTATGGATTTTCACCGCTGAGATGATCGGTATGGAATTCATTGCTGAGAGGCTTCGCCTCCTTGATCTTGATCCTGCCATCGTCATTCGATTGACCATAGTCAACCTTGAGACTCGACTTCTTTACTGGGATGTGTGATGTCTTAGCATCTCCATATCGCTCTAATATCTTTCTTGTAAATGCTTCTTGGTGCAGGAAGAGTGAGCCATCTTTCAAACGTTCAACTTGTAGACCAAGGAAACAATTTAACGCTACTACTCAAATGTTAAAATGCCGCTTGAGTTCATCCATAAATGTGAAGAATGATGCTTTGTCCTGAACAGCGAAAATGGCATCCTCAACATAAATCGCCATCAGCATCTTATGTCTGTAATCATTTCATATTAACAGGCAGTTGTCAGATTTACTTTGGATCATGCCAAGTTTCTTTAGCACGTCTGTAAACTTAGACATTTCCAACATCGTCCAGCTTATTCCAAGCCAGTATAAAGGTCGAAACATCTTGCATTACACGCTTATATTCCGTCATTATAGCCTTCGGGTTGATGCATGTAGATCTTCTCAGTTAGGTCACCGTAAAGGAATGCCGTCTCCACGTCAATTTGATATAAGTTGAGATTCTCCTTGGCTGCCGTCTGCAATTAGAGCTCGAATAGTGTCATAGCGACACACGCCGGGCTAAATGTGTCTTCGTAGTTCGATAATTCACCATCTGGGTGTACCCTTTTGCTACTAAACCTGGCCTTGAATCTCTCGATTGAGCCATCGGGATTTGTCTTCAACTCTGTAAACCCAGCGATTGTCGAGGATTTTACGTCCGTTAGGTGGCTCAACAAGTTGCCATGTTCCATGTTTGGCATGCGAAGCCATTTCTTTGTCCATTGCTCGTTTTCAGTTGGCATATTCAGGAGACTTTTGTTGCTTCATCATATGTTTTAAACTCTTCCAACTTCAGAATGCTGTTGTACATGTCATAGTCATTAAATCAGACAGGCCGTTGGATAGTTGAACAGTCTCGCAATGTACGCGCGGTCATTTGTGTTGGTTTATCTTCATCAGTGCACAGATCACCAGCCCCCCGTGTGGCTGCATCACCGTGTGCATCTTCCAAAATGAACGTCATACCGCTTGATAGACCGGTGTTAGATGCTAATTTTGAAGGTTGGAAAGTAGGGCTGATTTGCTGTTTATTGAATACTACATTGGCACTTTTTATCATATCATTCCTTGATGGTATGAAAATGCGATACTCATCGTCATCACAATAGCCAACCAAATTGCCCTTTATATCTAATTTACCTCTGTTGACATTTGGCACATGTACAAATGAAGCTGATCCAAAAACTCAAATTCTGTCAATTGCTGGCTTGCGTCCAAACCATTCCTCAAACGGAGATTTTCCCGTAGTCTTACTTGGCCCCGTTCGATTGAGAACGTAGACAGCTGTAGATGCTGTTTCTGCCCATAGGAACTGTGATAGGCCTGAATCCTTGATCATAGTGCAAACTGCATTCATTATTGTACGATTCTCTCTTTCAATCAATCCGTTTTGTTCTGGTGTATATGGCATAGTGAATCGCAGCTTGATTTTATCCACAGCTTCATCTTTATATCTTAGAAATTCTACATGTCGAAACTTAGAGTAATCATCCTTAATCACTAACATGTACTTCTTTTCACCTCTTGATAAGCCTGGCGATTCGAGTAAGTCTCCATGTATTATCTCATCAGACTTTCGTGTTTTGCACCGTTTTGGTTTAAATGTTCATCGACTTTGTTTACCATATGCACATGGCTCACAAAATAGTCCATCGTTGATAAAATCTATACCATTTTGCCGCAGTTACTGTTTCACATACTATATTCCTTGATGCCCTAAGTCATCGATGCCAAAGTGATAAACAGGCAATTTTGTCGTCGTCTTCATTGCCTGTCTTCAGGGAAAAGGAGTTGTCATTTTTTGTCAACCAAGTAGCGCTGCAGCAGGCAGAACCCCCTTGTGGTTTGACTGGTTTTGCACGTGGCTCAAAAAGTCCGTTTGATGAATATAGGGCCTCCAAAAGTATATTATCTGGGATCTTCTTGCAAAAGAAATGACAAATCATATCGTCTGAATCACCAAAGTTCGAAATTCCTCACTTCGTTGCCTTTGAGAAGTTGATAAATTTTTGCCAATTTCTGGTGCGTACAGTACATCAGTGAGCTCAGATTTTTGTACATTTCCAACCGTCGCACACATGTCAATGTCCCCACAGCCATATGCTGGTATTGTCTGTTTGTTAACGACTGCGATTTCTGCTTGTTTGTTAAAGTGAATGTACATCTTGAAATACTCGGCTGAATTTGTAATGTGTGCTGTAGCTTCATCGTATTTAAGCCACACATTTCAGCCACAATCATCTTCTTGACAAGCAAACACACTGCATTGAGTATTTGCAAAGAAGGCCTCTGTTTTGCCATTTGTCGTGGTTGGCTTGTCAGGGAAAACTGGACAGAATTTACCAATGTGCCCGGGTTTATTACAACGAAAAGAGATGCCATTGAAACCTTTCACACCATCACTGGTCTTATTAAGTCTGTTCATCGTTTTGGCATTATTTGTTGTCAAGGGTTGGAATTGGCTTACAATCTGAGGTTTCTTACCACCCTTCTTCCATTTCCTTCCACTATGTTTTGCGCTATAATTAGCATTCGCCACAAATGTTATTGTACTTTCGTTTCTAAGCTCTTGATTTCTTCTTTGCAGCTGCGTGTTGATCTGCTTGATCAATTTTTCATGTGACTTTTCCATCTTTGGCATTAAGTCCCACTGTGATTTAAACTCGATATATTCGTCATCAGGAAGAATAGATAAGATTCGCGGTGCTAGCAAGTTCTGCGGCAACTTTCCTTTGCCGCTCAACTCTTGCTCACGTTGAAGATCCACCCACAGTATACATAAACGTGTGAGTGATCGCATTACACTTTCGTCTTTCTCGATCCGAAGAGTGAAAACTGTTGCAGAAGAGTGTCCAAATTCACGCTTGACACCTTCTCAAAATTACTTAATAACTCATTCCATATCGCTAGTGAAGAATTACCATGCATACGGATCAAATTTAACACATTCGGTGATACACTTGTGCGAATGATAACAGCAGCTTTCGCATTCGCCTTTGCATACGCTTTTGCGGTTTCGATGTGCTCGCGTATCGTTTTTCATTCGCGCTTTCTGCCACAGCTTTTAGCTAGATAAGGAAATTATTGAAGATGCCTGCACAATCGTTGAGCACATATAAAGAGTTTATTTCAAATTTCTACTCAGTCCAGTTGGATAAACCTTCCAATCTGGTACACTGAACAAAATTTTTAGCTTCCATATTACGTTGTCATTAACCAGGAAATATGCAACAAAAAAGGCTATCGATACACTGTAGCATCTACCTACATACTGGTCAGGGGGAAGTGTTGAACTGGAAAACAAAAGTTAAAAAAAAAAAAAAAAAAAAAAAAAAAAAAAAAAAAAAAAAAAAAAAAATCCGTGATTAAAATACGTCAACATAGCCATCGTTAATTTATTTGCGCAGTTAAACGTCGCTAAACCCATAAACTGTTATGAAATTAACAGAGTAATGGCTAAATGAATTTTTGGACTTAATTAACAAAAAAAGGTAAAGAGAACTTACATATGTCTTATTGTTTGCATGGCAACTTTTAGAATGACAAAAATAATAGTGATGCCAGATGCATAAAACATAATAAAACAACGATGCCACTGAAACTGCACATAATAACAATTAAATGCTCAATCCTCAACAATTTGGATACTGTGACCCCAACAGAACAGATACT